AAAACCATAACATTTTGTGGATGACGTTAAAACCCAAAAATGTTATGGTTTTTTGGCAAAAAATCGAACTATTTTACGTTTCATTTTTCTGTGTGTATAATGCGTTATGTTTTTTTTCTCACTTTATTCATTCTTTTTTTTTTGTATTGAATAGAATCATCATGAATATTTTTTGTTTTATGTTATAAGATTATTCATGTCATGATTTATTAAACCATATATCAAAATATAATCACCAACACATTGACACATTCACATCGTATATATTTGATCAATGAATTTCAACGATACAAAATAAAACTTGAATGAACTTCTGCTGCAATACACAGCATTTGTGAGCAATATTTATTTTTTGTTGGAATCATTTTTAGTTTTTGAAATAAAATAAATTTTGTTCCAAACCAGATAAAAAACGATTTTTTTTTTGTTATGGAAATTCAAAAAGTTTTCAATTGTTGGTGACTAAATTTTCTTATCTATATCCAAAAGATCTGGAATTCCATTATTTAGAAAAAATGAATTCCAAATGCATACTTTTTGTTTGTCTTTATCGTCTCATTAAAACGAAGACGATAGAAATTGTGAATAATAATAAAAAATAGAGGAAATTTTTTTTAATGGTATCAGATAAACCGAAATAAAGAAATGACAACAAAGGTATATATTCAAATGAAGACTAATTATCTTCAATCAGGTAAAAATTAAAAAAAAAGACAGATCATAATGTAAAATCAGATTCACGATATTTGCACAGTCAGCAAAATCATCATCATCATGATGTTATTCAAAAAAAAAAAAAAATACTTTGGAAATCATTTTCTTTCCATTGTCCCAGTGTCTAAAATCCTTCCTTCCAAGGTTCTTCACCATTAGTTTCAAGATAATAACATCCGGTTGCTTTTGGATCGGCCCAATATCCCATTTCAGCTGGTTGTACGGTACGTTTAATTTTATCAACTGGCCTATCAATTGATGGCGTTTCTTTCAAACAGAATTGAGTCCGTAATTCACCCGGATTTTCAATACTCCAGGCAAATAATTCGATTGAACGTAAATGTGATCCAGCACTGGTAAAATCGGCTGCATTTGGTTGATTATAGCCATAATTGACGTATATATCTAAAGTACCACATGGTTTTAATGTTCCATATTTGTTGATCAAGGCATAATTTTCTGATGATCGAAATTCATGATGAGAATCTGTATGAGCAACATCGACAAACGGTGCATCATCACTACGTAACATTAAATTCTCATTAACCAATTCGAATCCCGGTCCGGCTGGATCCAATCCTAAAATCAAAAAAAAAAAATTAATTTCAAATTCAATTGTAAAAAATGAAATTCGAAGCCTCTATTCTTTCCAATATCATACCTGTGATCCGATTGAATGCATGCTGCGACCATCTGCCAGCTAAACCCATGATATGTGCACCAATACCTTCACCGATACCCCAAATGGAACCTTTACTGATGGTTTTGGTGATATTTTTTCTTTTCAATTCGAGCACATAATTTGAAAACCATTTTGCTACCGTTTCAACATTGGCAACGGCTTGTGCATATTTGAATGCAGGTAGTTCAGCACCTTTACCCCAACCTAAAATAATAAATGTTTGATCCGATTCTTCGAAAAATTTTTGCTTCAAATCATGAATCCATTTAGAACGAGCACTTCCCCAAAATCCATGAGTAATAAATACAACTCGAGGAAATTCCAACATATTAGCATCTTTGAGCAATTGAAATGCTTTTTTTGCTGGTACATCATGTTGTATAGTTATCATATCACCACTAGGACCATAAGCAAGTAATTCAGGTTGAATCTCTTCTAATGACATTGATTGAAACGAATTGGATGCAGTTGTGCCGGATTTTGATGCATTTTGTGTACTCTTTTTTCCTGTTGCGGATGATGATGAAGATGATGATGGTGATGATGATGTTTTGGAACCTTTATGAATTCGATTTTCAGCCATCCGACTGACGGTGGCCATTTTAAAGTTTTTATTTAACTTGAAATTTGATGCAAAAATATTCAATCAAAACAATCAAAAAAAATTTAACACTCGTTTAATGGGTTAATGTTGAATGAATCGTCAACAATTGTTTATGTTCTATGAATGTATAATTCAAAGGTTTAAATTCAATGTGTGTGTGTGTGTGTTTAAAACTAAACAGATGCGGCTTCTATATGAAATTCTCGATAATCATCATCGTCGTCATCATTGCATCGTTGAAAATTGCGACGTTCAAGATTAATAAATGAATGAATGAATAACTTGCCGAAATAGAATTGCAAGAATTAGCGCAATAAGTTTATAAGATAGTTTTGGGTGAGGCAAGAAGAATGAAATTATATTGAAGCTATGTTTAAAAACAAAATTTCGTATATATAATTGAAACGTTTAAATTCTTCGACGCCCCCACTCTTATTTACATTAAAACATTCTAAAAGTCAGTTCATTTTTCATGGAGACGAAAAAAAAATTTAAAAAAATAAAATAAAACAAGACTAACCAAATACCATCATCATCATTACCATTTTCTTCGTTGTTTAATGTCATCAATTTTCACCATTGCCACCTATCCATTCCATTCCATTACTGAAAGGAATTCTGTTTTTTTTTATTTTCAGTGAAAAATGACTTATTGTTTAATATAATGTAATCACGAGAATATATCATGTTTTAAATTTTTGTTTTCTATTTAACATCTTATATATGTGATAACTACCAACGTTGATCGTCTTCAGCCATCTTTTTTTTAAACTAGATTTTTTTTCGTCCGAATCTTTTAGGATTCTATCATCATTGATAGCCAATCTGATGAATGAATGATGGGGATGGCAAAAAAAAGTTAAATCAGCCAAGGTTATACAAATTTTTCTTATCCACATTGCAACTAATCAGCCATGAAAGATAACACTATGAAAAACATGAATATTCCTACAATTTATTTATCGTTGTTTACGGATTGTCATTTTAAAGTTGTAAACTTGATCTGAATTTCTAACCTCATTCATTCATTCAATTCATTGAATTTTTTAGATTTAGATAAACATTGATCATCATCATCATCATCATCATGATCAAATACTTATATAGAACATAGGTGGTGATAATGATGATATTCTTGTGACATCATTCTCATATTTTATGTCATGTATTATTATTCAGCAAATTCAGAACCAGAATTATTTTTAACTTATGACGACAAAAAAAAAAACGTGGGATATATACAATTATGCAGTTTTCATCCAATAAATAAAAATTGTTTCGTAACGTTATAAACATGTTCACTTTATTTGTATTATCTGCAACATTATTGTATTATGATTGGATTAATTAGATTTAAACGTAGATAAATAAAACAAACAAAAATAATTTTATCAAATTAAAATTACATTTTGAAAAAAAAATCGATTCTTTGTAGTAGAATTTACAAACAATAGCCTACACTCAGAAAAATGAAGGGTGGAGAAGAAGCATAGAAAATAGTTATGATGAATCACGGACATAATTTGTACAGTCGAAGTAGCGTTTTTGGAAGCATAGAAATTAGGTACCGAACTGGTTAAATCATCTGTTTTTCAATCACGTGATTGTGACGACGGGCGATTCATCGATTGTTTCGATATTTTTTTGAATTGATCCAGTACCTCGATTGTTTTGGAATTTCACTTAAATTTTATTTAAATTTTATAATTTGAATAAAATAAATTAAAAATATAAATTAAAAATTAAAATCACAAGTTCCAAATTGATAAAACGATCCAATTATGCGCCATGTGATGGAAAAGAGCCGGAGAATTTGCAGCCATTGATGCCAATTAACCAATTTACATCCATTTTGATCATCTTCACTCGATTACCAATGTTCACTTCCATGATAATTGGATGATTTGACAATTTTGATGAATGGACGATAATATTGTCGACAAAGAGAATAAATACGAATTTTGTTGATTGAAACTTGATTGATTGTCATTTGTTCGGGATGATCCATCGATGATCTTCAATGCGGATAATAATTATCATGAGATCAAGATATGAAAATACAAAAAAAAAGAATTAGAATCATTGTTGTTGAAAATATTAAGAAGTAATTTACCGTTTATTCAATTGTCATTGATTGGAAATGATCCATCGATGATCGTCAATGTTGAGTTATCATCAGGTCGGGATATGAAAATGCAAACAAGAATTAGAATCAATGTTATCAAGAATATT